CCGTCTATCACTAAACGCCGTCTGGTCGTGGATGAGGTCGAACTTATGGCCATGAACGGAACGTCGGTTCAACGACCCCCCCCCCCGCCTCCCCCAGTCGATCTCGCGTTAATCGTCGGTCACTGCGAGTGTGCAGCTATATGAGCGACCTTTCGTTATTTCCCGTGCGTTTGTTTGTGTATATATTTACATTTGTTTTTCATGCAGATGATATGAAGTGTTAATAAATGTTCCATTATTATTTTTTAATTTTATAATGTGTTGGATGCTTGAAAGATGCACTTACACGGGAATATTGCAGAATGCAAAACACAATCATTGAGTCTTGTAGTTATCAGTTATCTAGGATATAACCTTTTTTTGCACGTCTTTTCGGCCTTACACAATTTCCTTTTTGGTAATTGATTAGTCCTTTTTGCAGTAACTAGTGAAAGTATGTGCTGCTAAAGAAAGCAGTTTTTGCGAACTTTTCATGCAGCAGCTTTAACTAGTATAGATATTCTACTTTCAGCCCCAATGCTTTCGTTAGCATTATTCTACTTGTCGTGGGGTAACAATAGCGCTAAAACGGTTCATGTGTGAGTACGGAAGGTACTAACTGCATGCTATTCTTAGCACCTTTTAAAGTTTAGCACCGCTAGGGTACTGAAAATTGGTCTAGCAGGTGTAGGGTACTACATTTAGTACACGGGTGCTAAACAAATATGGGTACTTATATTAGCACCTTGATACTAAACTAGATCTCAGTTAAGTACGAATAAAATGCTTAGCTTAGCACCGCTAGGGTACTGAAAATTAGTCAAATGAAAAGTACCTCTAGGGTGCTAAACTTTTTTTACAGTGTAGCAGGTGTAGGGTACTACATTTAGTACACGGGTGCTAAACAAATATGGGTACTTATATTAGCACCTTGATACTAAACTAGATCTCAGTTAAGTACGAATAAAATGCTTAGCTTAGCACCGCTAGGGTACTGAAAATTAGTCAATTGAAAAGTACCTCTATGGTGCTAAACTTTTTTTTACAGTGTAGGGTTAAAAGGTGCTAAGAATAGCATGCAGTTAGTACCTTCCGTACTCACATATGAACCGTTTTAGCGCTATTGGTACCCCACGACAAGTAGAATAATGCTAAGGAAAGCATTGGGGCTGAAAGTAGAATATCTATACTAGTTAAAGCTGCTGCATGAAAAGTTCGCAAAAACTGCTTTCTTTAGCAGCACATACTTTCACTAGTTACTGCAAAAAGGACTAATCAATTACAAAAAAGGAAATTGTGTAAGGCCGAAAAGACGTGCAAAAAAGGTTATATCCTTGATAAGTGATAACTACAAGTCTCAATGATTGTGTTTTGCATTCTGCAATATTCCCGTGTAAGTGCATCTTTCAAGCATCCAACACATTATAAAATTAAAAAATAATAATGGAACATTTATTAACACTTCATATCATCTGCATGAAAAACAAATGTAAATATATACACAAACAAACGCACGGGAAGTAACGAAAGGTCGCTCATATACCTGCACACTCGCAGTGACCGACGATTAACGCGAGATCGACTGGGGGAGGCGGGGGGGGGGGGGGGGTCGTTGAACCGACGTTCCGTTCATGGCCATAAGTTCGACCTCATCCACGACCAGACGGCGTTTAGTGATAGACGGAACCGGAGACCCCGTGTTGTTGTCGTAGTTGTCCTCCATTGTAAGTGGTAGTCGACGGAAGAACTGACCAGGCCCCATGCCTGGAGCAAAAAAAAAAAACTGGATCAGTTCCAAAAATTTTTTTCTGTTGGGAGCTATTTTCGCAAACAACACAACTTTCCTCCAGACCAAGAAGCGCGATTAGCCAAAGTCGGAATATAAAGCACTTAAACAATATAAGATAATGTCAAAAGATACAACGTGTCAGACTCACCAAAGTTGATCAACGTCGGTGTCGGTGGCATGTGTCGGTGGCAAATGCTCATGTACGTACCACCCGGCCCCGGAGCACTTCACTTCACTTCACTGCACTGCTGCACTGCACTTCCCTCCACCTCACTGCCTCCCGGAGCAGGGGCACGCACTCCCATACCACGCACGACGGATTCCACCGATAATAGCTGATTTAAGTTATCATTCCAGAGCTATCACTCGGTGGCATGTGCCCGGAGCACTTCACTTCACTTCATTTCACTTCATATACCGGAGCACGTGCATACACTCCCACCACGACCAACGGACTCCACTAAAATGGCGCAACACGTGGCCGGAAACAGCTGGCACGCGCATGCGCATATCGCTCTGCGCCGTCAAAACGTGCTAAAGGGCTGGTGATAAGACTCCCAGAGATTTGTTAAGCAGGGCTTAGCTACTTTCTTTGGCGCCAATTTCAAATTTGTTTCCTCTGTAAGCATGTCCGGTTCTATTATGATACTAACGTAAGCACCATATTCAGCATTACCAACTTCTAAAACACTTAAAATGGTTCTAATTAGAAATCCAGCTTGAAAGAGCACTCACTGATAGACTGGGTACTAGCAGAAGTAGACGTTAAGCTCAGTAGAAGAATAGGTGATCTAAACTTATAATATTTGATGGGAATGTTAGCTATAATTAGCACAGTATTAGCACCATGCTTCTTTGTAAATACGTCGTAGGGTTCTTTTGACGCTAAAAGGTGCTACGAATAGCAGCCGTTAGTACCCCAAATGCTAAACTTTTTTTACAGTGTACCCTCGTGTTAATCAATTTTACACCTACCTAAAAATTTCATGACCCTGACCCTAATGACCTTTGACCTGTGACCTACTTTTCGCGACCGTGTTTGGCCGGAATCGCGATTCAGCGCATGTCGGCTCGCATTAGCCGCGCGTTTGCAGTCTTTTCGTGGTTTCAAGCGTTCAAACATGTGATTTGATGCTGCTCCCATGCATTAGGGTGGATGTCAGGTCACCGGAAGGTCAGGTCAGGTCATTGACCTTTGATGACCTCGGTCCACTTTTTCGAATTTTACATGTTTCTAGACTAGTTTTTGGAGCTGAATTCGAATTTATCAACCAGTTGAACATTTAACCCGGCAGTTGCTGGGGTATTTCGCCACCCACCGTTTGCTGGGGGGGGGCGTTAAACGCCCCCAGCCGATAACTCGAGAACCAATAGGCGCAGCGAAACGCACGAGGCGGCAAACGAAAGAACGCGACGAGACGCTTCAGATGAGTATTTTAAAGTTGAATTTTTAGGTCACAGGTCAGGTCAAGGTCAGGTCAAACACCTGAAATCGGGCTTTCAGTAGCATGAACTTCAGGACTTCGCAATGGGCGCCTCTCGTCATAAACTCTGTCAAAACGGTGCACAATCCACCATATAAGGCCTACAAGAGTGTCAGCTCCATGCGGGGGTCAGTCAAGCATAGGTCAGGGTCAAGGTCAGGTCAACCGGGCAGGCACATATCCCCGAAAATAAAAACTGATATTCGCAGCCTGTGACACATGTTTTATGGGTAATTTGGGGCGTAGAACACGATGGTGACATTCATTTTATCATATAAGTGCGTGTTTGGCTAAAAAAGCTCAATTTAAGAAATGCATGTATCATGGTCGTGAAGTAGTCACGAGAAATTGCCAAGATTCAGTTCAAGATTTTGGAAAATGCGGAACGATATTCAATATTCGAAGATAGCCATTTGATTGTTCATGGTATTGGCAGTCTAATGGCGTTTGCGGCATGTCTGTATGTCTATTCTGTGATTTTATATGATTTTTTGAACATATGCCGTTTTTGGTCGAAAACTCAGAAATCATGACGTCACTAAAACCTCGATATCTCAAAAATTTTCCGACCGATTTTTTTGAAACTTTGTCACAATAAACTTCAATCAATTCCCTACAGGTACCCAAAATTTGGCGCGCCTGCGGCGCGCCGTTTTTATGCTATGGCCCGGCGAAAAAAGTGGGGGCGTTTAACGCCCCCCCCCAGCAACTCGCGGGTTAAGAAGTAGTCTTGTTGTCTTCGTGTTACGAAGCTGTCAGAGGTGGTTGACACACACTACAAATACCCGGCAGAACCCCTACTGGTTGACCTGACCCGACCTGACCTGGCCTAAATCCATAAAGACATCATCTGTGATCAAAAGTAGCATGATATTCGTGATCAGCACCCCGAAAAACATCACAACTGCCACGCTTTACGATGTTCTAACAGCCCGAAAAGGACCCCCGCCCAGAATCGAACCTTTCAGAGCCCGCCCGGAATAGGGTTAAGATGCGTGGCAGCATATTGGTTTGCGAACTGCGAGCCACCGTCCAAAAGTAACGTAAATTGTCAACAGCAATGCACAGAAGTCTGTCAATGCTCAGAGCTTGCTTTTTGAAGAGTTAACAAGTGATGCAGTAGCTACGTTAAGAATGCAGCTGCATTCTTGAAACGGATTGTCTCCAGGCAACTACCTGGAATCATTTAGTCTTTTCTCAACTCTGTTTGACTTATTTTCTGTACCTACCATCGACACAGACCACCGCGGCAGACGCACCGATGCTGCACTGAAACTTCACGCCCCGAAAACATGGGATAGCGCACCCCGATTGTGTGTATTGTGCAATAAGACCACGCACTTACAACTTCCCACCGCCCAGCCGGCCGCCCGGCAAATGTCGTGGCGCGCGGTGCCGATAAGGCGCTGCCGCCGGCGCGCGGCGTCGAATTCTCGCCCTAATGACACCGGCCGGTCGGCGGGCGTAACATGGTCCTCTGCCGTTTGAGCAGCACGTAGCAGTAATACATTTCGGAAAAAGGGCATCATTGGACTCAGAAAAGAACACCGCACCACATGAGCCATGAGCCCGTAAACTTTTCCAAAATTCGTTTTTTTTTTAACAACCCTACTGACCAGTGGACGGCCACCTTAAGGTGGGATGGTCACTTTAACTGTTAGGGCGTTTGTTCCAATCGGCTTTTATGAACTGTCGAGGTGTTTTGTGTAACCGAACATCATTACTGGGACTGGTTCCAGTTGGTGCTCAACATAATAGCATTATGCATTCGACCATGGTGCGAATTTATGTTCAGCGAAGCACTATTTACGTTACGGTCTTTATGCATGAGAGCCGAGCACCGCACGCTCAGAGCAAAATATCAAAGTTGGTGTTGCTTATATATTACATACAATTACAAAAAGACACACACGCACACTCGAGCGTGCTCCATGCAAATTCAGACGTAGGACAAACATTTACGAATTCCAGCTGGTTCATTCTGCCACACATTCATTGATTTAGCATCATTTATACGCCAGACCTTTTAAACAATAAAATTAGTAGCCATAGCGTCCATAGCCACGGCTGCCAAGCAGACCAAAGTTGCGGAAGCCAAATCTACGGCCATAGCCTGCATACTGGTTTCCGTAGCCCAGGTTTCCGAGGCCGTACTGGTTTCCGTAGCCGAGGCCGATCCCACGGGCGCCGAGCAGACCGAAGTTATTGAGTCCAAACTGGTTTCCGAGGCCGTACTGGTTTCCGTAGCCCAGGTTTCCGAGGCCGTACTGGTTTCCGTATCCCAGGTTACCGAGGCCGTACTGGTTTCCGTAGCCGAAGTTGTTGAAGAGGCTGCCGCCGATCGCTCCTCCGTTGAACAGGCCAAATCCGGAGCCGCCGAGGAGGCTAGCGGCGGAGGCAGCCACCAGGCACGAGAGGATCACCAGCTGTGAATGCACAAAGGTCAGTGTCAACATCTCTCTCTCCCTCCCTCTCCCTCTCCCTCTCCCTCTCTCTCTCTCTCCCTTTCCCTCTCCCTCTCTCTCCCTCTCCCTCTCTCTCTCTCTCTCTCTCTCTCTCTCTCTCTCTCTCTCTCTCTCTCTCTCTCTCTCTCTCTCTCTCTCTCTCCAGTGGGACCGATTTGAGCGTGAACGGTAAACGTCGCCCATAGCTGCACTCCTGGTCCCCTTAGTGAGAAGCGGCTGGCGTCTATCGAATTCAGATAAACTTCTGTTATACCATATCGACGGTATATTTGCGTCATATGTCACATTTTGAAGTTTTGAATCATGTTCCAGACTTCTAACAGATGTTGACCTATATACTTGTATTTGGATTCATAGGCATCCAGCAACTAAGAAGCGCCAAATACACCATCACTTCTTATTTCCTCAATTACGTTAGTATCTGCCTCGCATGGTGCGGTTTCACCTTTAGTTCAACAATTTATAAATCTTTAAAGGATCGCCTGTTATTTTTGTACGTTCTTCCACTTCGTCTGATCACCTACTACGTTTTTCGCACATCGTATGCTATTTTCTTGAAGGCATGCATCGACTGGTGTAACTAGTTACATACATGTAAAATGACATTAAAAAGCCTGATTAAAACGATCCCACGAAGTCTGACAACTCTTCATCCTTCAAACACACGCCATTGTTCACTCCAGCAGAGTGTAACTATTATTTTAAATTTTAAATTCTAATGTAACTATTAAATCAAATTTTAAAAAAAAATCGGGAAATTTTACGGTAATGTGACTTACCTTCATGGCGCCTGGCGGTTTCTGAGCTGTTGTCCTGAAGGAGCCGAGTTGAGTGTGTGACTGCTATGCCGCCAGATTTCCCTTATATACCTACTGAACTGGCTGAGAGACACGATTGCTGTGCGTTGGCCGCTGGTCACGCCTACAGCCCCGCCCGACGAAATTCCGGTGCAATGTCGACGGAGCGGGGCAGGAAGTCTGACAAGTATATACAAGGTCAGCCAAAGGTGCTGTTGACAAGGGGGATAAGCGTGGAAATATTCATTTTTTACCTTTTCGGTGTACGCTGCCTTGCATTTGACCTTTTAATCCGCACCGGGACGGGGTGAGGGTGTTTCAGGGATGCGGAGCCGTGGAAATTTCAGACGGCTCCGGCTCCGGCTCCGGCTCCGGAGAATAAAATCGGCTCCGGCTCCGGCTCCGGCTCCGGGTGAAATGTCATGGCGGCTCCGGCTCCGGCTCCGGCTCCGAGTAAAATGATCCGGCTCCGGCGGCTCCGGCTCCGGCTTCTACACTGAGAAAAAAAATTATTCCCCTGGAACACCTTTAAGGGTGTGTACCAAACTGCACCTCGCTGGGGTGTCAGACGGGTGTCACTTTTGACACCAATACAGGTGTCATTGGGAATGAAACACCGGGTGTCTGACACCCTTTTAGGTGTCTGATACCCTTTTGGGTGCACACCCAAAAGGGTGTCAGACACCCGGTGTTTGATTCCCAATGACACCTGTATTGGTGTCAAAAGTGACACCCGTCTGACACCCCAGCGAGGTGCAGTTTGGTACACACCCTTAAAGGTGTTACGAGAGTGTCCATTGGATGCCAAAAAAGGTGTCGACACATTCTTACATTTCTTGGTTCAAACAGGCATATCGCATACAATGGCATTCCTATCTTGTATACAGCAACAAACTATAAAGTACAAAAAATATGGGCCCTATATTTACGGAGAAATCCAATGAAAACTCACCGAAACACATCGGGTCCATTCACAGTGAGAAGTTGCTCGCATTTCAGCAATGATAATTAACCGTCGATTATCTCCAACCAGATGTTATTCCGCAGTTCACTTGCTTTCGTTTCCATGGTGCAATGCTGTGTTGTCATCCTCACTCCAGACTTCAAATTTCACCGAGTACCGCCCGCCTCGTCATTTGAATAAACACGGAGCAAGCTACAAATAAAAGCTAAACATTATCATTAACGCACAATCACTTGAAGAAGTACACTGCGAACAACGTTCGGCGCCACTATATCCACATAAATTCAAAAAAGCCCTGCCACCACTCACACCGCACACGCACCACGTGGCACGCCGCCGCCAACTGAAATCTAACGGCTTTCCTGCAAGGTGGCGCTTTTTGATCTTCGCATGGTTGACGCCGTGACTAGCACACAAATGACGTCACACAATGAAGCTTGCTGATTGGGTAATGATTCAAACCACTGGACCTGCTGTGGTTTCTAGCAGTGCTACGGAGTCAGAGTCGGAGTCTGATGGAGTTGGCAGTTCTGGCCAGAATAGGAGTCCATTTTGGAAGACAGAGCGGGAGTGCGAGTCACTGAAAATCCGTTAGACACCGCATCCCTGGTTCCTAACACAAGTGACGTCAGAACAATTTATGTATATGTGATGATTTAGGTTCGAATACACGACAGCTTTCAAACATTTCATGACTCATGCTGGAATGTTCCTCAACAAATGACAACACACGTGAAGGTATCACAAGGGTATCAGATCCCTTTTAAGGAACATTTTTGTTTACACCTTTTGAAGTGTTGATGGTTTAGGGTGTTTGACACCCGAATGGATGTTGGTGTAGGACACCCATTAATGTGTCTTTCTGAATCCCATCATGGTGTGTTTAAAAGCGCGTTGCACTTGAAGGTTGTCATCGTGGTGTTGTACACCTCCATGATTCCCAAAACAACATTTTTGACACCAATCTGGGCGTTATATATGACACCATTGCAATGATGCCCGACACCCGTGAGACACCCCATGGGAATATTTTCCTCATTTTTTTCACGCTGTTTTTGGTGTCAGATCCTTTTGCAAGTGTCAATGTGACACCTCTAGCAGTGTCGGACACTCTTAACATTCCGCTTCAATAAATGGCAACACCTGTGAAGGCATCATAAGGGTGTCAGATGCTTTTAAAAGAACATTTTTGACACCTTTTAGGGTGTTTGATACCTTAGAGTGTTTGATACCCGGATGGGTGTGGGTGTCGGACACCTATTAAGGTGTCATGCTGAATCCCATTAAGGTATATCTAAACGCTCGCATGCGAACGAACACTTGAAAGGGTGTCATCGTGGTGTTGTACACCTTAATGATTCCCTAAACAGCATTTTTCAACACCAATCTGGGTGTTCGATGACACCTCCAATGGTGTCTGACACCCGTAAAACACCCCTGGGGAATATTTTTTTTCTCAGTGTACTCAGTACATCCCCTATGCATGCGATCAATTAAATACGGGTGGAAGAAAAAAGGCGATGGGATTGGTACACGTTGCTTCTGTATTTGTATAACAAGGCTATTTTGAATACCAGATTGTTTTACGCCTTGCACTGCCAAACCGAACTAGGTAAATAATTGTTTCCTCTTAAGAAAAGGAGCCGGAGTCGCCCCCTTCTTTGACGGCTCCGGCTCCGGCTCCGGCTCCGGGCTATATTGTTTCACGGCTCCGGCTCCGGCTCCGGCTCCGGGCAAAATATGCCGGCTCCGGCGGCTCCGGCTCCGGCTCCGGCTCCGTATCCCTGGTTTGAACACCCCTTGTGATTTTCGCCGATATATAATAAAATGACGGCAATCCAACTTCGTTATACATCTTTTCATCACATGTGAAAATTTCAGACCCAGGTCGCTCAAGGTCCGGTCACTAGATCACGTCTAGTGAACGTACCTCAGAATAAGTTAGAATGCTCGCCATAATTAGCTATACACCGATTCAAAGATCGCTTTGAAAACTTCAGCGATTGAAAAGAGTATTTCAGATTGAGAAGATTGTCGATTGAGAAGAGCATAAATTCTGCATACAGAATTTTTACATCGTCATGACCTAAGGTCAGTTCAATGTTGTGCCGTTTCCATTATAAGTCAGTGGGAGAATATTGAAGACGCCTGTTTTGGAAGAACGTCTTTCTAAACACTCAAACATCGGGTTACAGCTAAAATGATATACTGAATTGGAAAATTTAGCTCGTGGCAAATAACTCGCGTAAAAAGCGGCCGATCGCGACGAAACTTTCGGTGCCCTCGCGCTAGTCGATTTTACACCTACCCTTAAAATTTCATGACCCTGACCCAAATGACCTTTGACTTGTGAACTACTTTTCGAGACCATGTTTGGCCGGAATCGCGATTCGGCGTATGTTGGCTCGCATTAGCAGCGCGTTTGCAGTCTTTTCGTGGTTTCAAGCGTTCAAACATGTGATATGATGTTGCCCACATGCATTAGGGTAGTTGTCAAGGTTACCTGAAGGTCATATCAGGTCATGGACCTTTGGTGACCTCGGTTCACTTTTTCGAGTTTTACATGTTACTAGGCCAGTTTTTCGAGCTGCATTCGAATTTAGCAACCATATTAACGTTTATGAAGTAGTTTTGTTGCCTTTGTAACATGTTACGAAGCTGTCAGAGGCGGTTGACACCTACTACGAATACCCGGCAAAGCCCTTACTGGTTAACCTGACCTGACCTGACCCGACCTGGCCTAAATGCATGAAGATATCATTTATGATCATAACTAACATGTTCGTGATCAGCACCCCGAAAAACCCATAGCAGCCACCCTTTACGATGTTCTAACATGTCCGATTTTCCCGACTTTTGGGTCATTGACCTGACCTGGAAGGTTAGCCGATGACCAAGGACCTTAAATTTGGGTATCATCGGCTTCCTCTCGTCACGGGCAGCACGATTTTTTCTGCGAAGGTCTAGCTTGATCAGGGGCGAAACGGCAAGGGGGGGGGCAACGGACTCCCGCCCCCTATACATTCGTGGCTGGAAAAACACCAATATGGGCGAGGGTTAAGAGTGTGTCATTTAACACAAAAGTTATTGTGTAGAAGGCAACGGTTGTGGGAATGGTAGGTCAAGGTACAAGTAAAGGCTCGCATAGTATTGATGGTATTGACGATATTTCGGAAAGTTCGGGCCCCCTATCATGTTTGGGCCCTTTTTCTGAAAACCTGCCCCCGTAAGGCGAAATCCGTGGCGCCGTCCCTGGGCAAACGACCTAAACTGTTTGTAAAGGCTCTGTCTGGGTGATGGACCTAGGCCAGAGTTTCAAAACGATTAGCAATGTATGTATACCTAGGTACCTGCGACGGCACCTAGACGAAGACATCCTACACAAGGCACAAAAAAAAGCTCAACGTCTTGGCAGTTCGTAAATTTCAGAATATCCACGAAGGTAAGGATTTTGTAGAATCGGAAAGAAGAAGAGCAGGCAAAGCTTAAATGATAAGGTAGGAATATGCTCAGTTCAGTGCATAGAAATACACGAGCAGAGGGAAAATGCACTGGTTGGTTATTATTGGAACGATGAAAATTCGCGTATGCCTGTCATTGGAATACTCGAGCTGAGCGGATCATATTGCAGTGCCGCCTCGGGCGCTGCCAATATGAGCCGGGCGGATCATATTGCTCCAGCCGCCGCGCCGCCCGCCCCGCCCGCCCCGGTCGCCGGTCGCCGCGCCGGTTCACCTACCCATGACTCTGAGTCGGACCTCTCCAGAGGCGGTCCGCTGCCGGTCGCCGTACGCCGTACACCGGTACGAGGTGCCGTTCTGTTCCCGCTGCACGGGACTGATAAGAAGAGTGCCGTTGGGAAAGACGGTCTGATGCCGGTCGGCGGGTAGCGTCTGACCGCCTGCGGTACAAAACAGAAGCAGGTTAGAAAGATTATTCATCGTCGCATGATTTGGGTATTGATGTACCAACAGACAGGGAAACAGGTGAGGCACAAAAGAATCCAGAAAAAAAAACTTTATAAAAACAACTAACAACGGCTCATTGTAATGATGCTGCCTATAACTCAGATGTGGTTTATATCGCATGACTAAAATCCTCCAGGACACTTTTTCACGACACCCGGATCATACCACTTCATCCAAACGCATCCGGATCATACCACTTCATCCAAACGCATTATATACGGACCATTCATCCCAGCCTTCTCCCACTTTCCAAAGCGAGCCGTTTCAGACCATCCCCGCCAAAGGCTTCCGTCGAGTTCGACTACGCGCCGTCCGATGACGATCTATTCCAAATCGGCCGACGACGACGGTGTCGACGATTTCCGTCGCTGACATAAATTTGGTGGCGGCAGCCGATCCTGACGGCCACCGACTGGTCCTGGCGACGGCCGCCCGAACCGCTTCACTGCAGAGAGCCCAGCGGTCGAGTGGGGGGGGAAGGGGGGGGGGGTGAAATACTGGCGTTACTGGCCACGGCTGGTCACTGTGCAGCTACTAACCTCCAGTCGCCGTGGACAAGGGGCTGGTAGTGCAGAGGCCCAGAGCCGGTCATTACAGTGAATAGAAGAAATATTATTCACTCTCCAATTGTCACTGGAGAAATGACGATGGTTTTGAATTTTGATCTCTCATCGTCAAAAAGACAGCACCGATATCGGTAAGCGTATCGAACATTTGCAACTTAATCAGTGGTAAGAGGATATTTATAGTGATGATTATCGACGTTCGGAAAATGAAGCGACCAATAAAGTAAAATAATTTAATGAAACGTGTCCGGTCAGACACTGTCGCATTACGATCGTCACTAACCTTTTAGTGTTATTAGAACCACCATAAACGTTAGTGGCACATTCCTTGCAGTGCCCGTCGAATCCGAATAGAACTTCCGGACATTGATTCTTCCACAATAGTGTGCTGGAGGCAGTCCTGCGGTCTTGAACGACTTAGGTCATGAACTTTAACTAACCAATCAATTTCGAAAGTGGCTGCAATCTCACCCCGCGCGGGAGGGTTCGCTCACGAATCTGGCCATTTCACGCTCCTCGCCACACAAAATCTTCGCCAGGAGAGTGCGCCCCTGAGACGGCGCAAAATACGGCCCAGATCCATCACGCCGGGCTCCATTGGACCAGGGTGGGCATTGAGCTCAGAAACGGCGGCCGCGCCGGTGTCTGCGACGGTATCGGTAACGAAGTCGGTGTCTGTCTCTTGGTGTCAGTGTCAGTGTCAGTGTCAGACTCTATATCGATATCCGCTCTGAACCCAGTCAGTAAAACTAAAGGTGCCCCTGGCCGGTCACAGAGGTGCCGCTGGACTGGCGTTTCGCCATTATAGTGCCCGGCCTGCCGCCGCAGTCCCCGGAGTGGACCCAGCGCCGACGATACGGACCAGTCGCAGAGACCCCGGGGGCACATCAGGTCAGCCGCTGCCGGGTCAAGGGTCAGCAACTGCCGGGTCAGGGGTCAGTGGCTCCGGCCGGGCACTGCCACCAGTGATGGTCGCCATTCGCTTTGGTAATGCCGCCGTTCGTCAAACGGGCACCATGACGCAATGGACGGCTCGGGGAGGGGAAAGGGTGAGGATGCAGACGGTATTCGTACTCACCTGAGTGGGGATTTGAACAGCGTGGAGAGAGAGAGAAAAAGAGAGAGAGAGGAGAGAGGGAGAAAGAGAGGAGAGAGAAGGAGAAAGAGGGAGAGAAAGGGGAAAGAGGAGGAGGAGAAGAGGTGAAGAGAGAGAGAGAGAGAGAGAGAGAGAGAGAGAGAGAGAGAGAGAGAGAGTCAGAGCGAGAGGGAAAACATGCACACGGAAAACATGCACACGTACCGCGTGTCCAGGTGACCTGGTGGATCGGGTAGCCGCCCACTGAACAGGTGATGTAGATGGCATCTCCCTCCACGGCTGTCCGCTCGGGCATCTCGCGGACCAGAGGGTCACCTGAAAAAAGTCAGCGAGGTCAGCGAGGTCAGCGAGGTTAACGAGGTCACAGTACAAAAAGTTACCTAGACCTACTCTCGTGAGTCGTGACATAACACGGATATAGCAAAACAAAAGTCTGACGAGTTTGGGTGGGGTTTTGATCTTTTTTTTTACGAGCTATCGTGCCATTTATCATGAAATGTCAAGAAGTTTTAAAACCCAGAAATCTAGCGTAAGAAATAACAACTTGCTCTCTAATTTCGTAAAACATTCGAGCTCTGACTAATTCCTTTCGTTAAATGTCACCCAGGTAGACGACCGCTGTGGAAAACCGTTATAATGCAGAATGCTGTTCGGTGAATAGATCAAACAACAAGAATAGAATAACAAGCTACCTAATCGGTCGGTCATGCAAGTCTGAGAACATGACTGATTAAATCAAAATGTCGGCAGTATTTTTAGCACGCATTTATATAACACTGTGGTCCCATGTAAAAGATCATGATCTGGTTTATGTGAGCACAATCACGATATGGGCAGACACTTTTTCACCCCAAGGACAGTCATTGACAATTATCTGTAATTTGGTGATGGCGAATGGAAGTTTACGGACAAGCAATCCCGGAGATAGCTTGTCACATTATAAAAACCACAATAAAAACTATGTCGGTTGAATGCAACGGTGAAATGGGGAAGCATTGTAGCAAGAACGGTCGCGTTACTTTACATTGAATCGTATTTCGACGTAATTCGCGGAGTAAATCAACTTAAAGTTCATTCAGCCATTTATGTCGTGAATCACCGTATTATCATCACAGCAATCTCACCCCCATCCCATCCCCCACTTCAACCCTCATTCACAGCCATCCATTGACCTAAATACATTTCCCATACAAATCCCGCGCAGTATCCCAGCGGGCTCCTTCACCGGACAGTAACAGACGTAAACTGTAACATTCTCCCCCCGGTGAAATGACAATTTCACTCAATCCGTTCCGATAGAACACAGTGGCATGTGCTGACCGGCATCCTTGTAGGAATCTCCTCAATCCTGAGGCCTAGCCGCACTCCAAACGATGCAGCCTCTGTACAGGCCGCGTTGATGTAGTGCCGTCTGCCCTTCGCAGGGTCGCGACTCGTGTCAGTCCATCTCTGCCTGGATGAAGCTCAACTATCCTTCCCATTGGCCAGAGTGATCGGGACTGATACGGATTTTCTCTGATGATTACCAGATCTCCGATAGCTGGATTGCTTCTTTCTTCTCGGGGAGGAATCCGCAGCTCTCGCAAATATTCTGTGTGCCACCTTTTCCATAAATGAGCGAGAACCTCACGACAATGTATCCAGCGCTTCCTGAGCACTCGGCTCTGGCTCTCAGGCTCAATCAAACCCGGGACATCGGGCTCGTCCAGTGCAGGGACTTGTAGAAAGTCCCTTGGAGACAGTGACCGAAGGTCATCAATGTCCTCACTCAACGCCGATAGCGGTCTTGCATTTATTGCACCTTCTATGCGGCACAGCAGAGTTTGCAGATCTTCAAATGAGAGCATACTCTTATGAAGCGTTCTGCGCAGAGCCTCTTTCGTTGTGCGCACGAGTCGCTCATAAAAACCTCCCCACCATGGAGCTCGGGGTGCGTTGAATTTCCAGGTTACTCCGGAATGAGCGAGGTGTGCTGCTGCGCCCTTGAAGTTTGTTGCGTTGTCACTTGTCACCGTTTTCGGCATTCCTCTTCGTGCGGCGAATCGATCGAAAGCTTGTAAGAAGTCCCTTGTAGAGAGGCCTTTAACCAGCTCTATGTGAACGGCTCTCACTACCGCACACGTAAAAATGACAAAGTATGTCTTGACGATGTTGCCGCCGTCTTTGGCGAAGATAGGTCCTCCGAGGTCCACTCCGAGCTGTGAGAAGGGGGTTCCGCTAGACGCTCTCTCTCTTGGAAGGGGAGCTGTTTCTTGCGTGAACGGCTCTGCATGGAAAATACGGCACCTTGGGCATGCTCGTATAACCTTGCGAATCGTTTGTCGGCCTTTTGGTATCCAAAACCTGTCACGGATGGAGTACATCGTTTGCTGCACTCCCGCATGACATAGTTCCACGTGTCGCTCTTGGATCAGCAGCCGAACGTAGTGATCATCATTCGGCAGCAGGATCGGATGTTTTTCGTCTTCGTTCAACTTCGATTCTTGCAGTCGTCCCCTCGCCCGGAGGATTCCGTTCTCCAGATATGGGTTTAGCTCGTAGATGTGTGATGTCCGAGGTACGGCCTGATCTGCTATCAATACTTCCCGTTCTGGTCCGTATGCTGTTTTCTGTGTTTCCAGTATCCACAGTTCTTCTGCTCGGTTGAGCTCTTCTGCAGTCAGATCGCCCGTTGTCGACGGCTCCGTCTTCCGGGTATTGGCCAGGAATCGCAGCATCCAAGCTGTCACCCGGTGCAGCCGTTTACGCGAACTGTAGTTCTCTGCAGACATAAGTGATCCGACACCTGGTTCCTGGCTCGCGGAGGAACACATGGTGATCACGGGCCCACTTTTCCGCTCCTCCGCTCTGCACTCGCTGGGTTCGTAGGCACGCTGAGGAGGCCATTCTTCCCTTTCTTCTCGGAGCCAGCTGGGTCCCTCTTGCCAGAAAGGCTCGCCAAGCTTGTCTGCGGATGCTCCTCTGGACGGCAGATCGGCTGGGTTACACTCGCCTGGGCAATGCCTCCACTTTGCTGGTGGAAACATTTGCTGGACCTCAGTTACCCGGTTGCTGACAAACGCCCCCCAGCGGCCAGGATCACTTCGGATCCAGGCCAGCGCCACAGCAGAATCAGTCCATAGAAGGACGTCCTGAGGTTTGGAGGGCAGTGATTCAATCACGTAAGCCGTTAGTCTCGATCCAAGAACGGCGGCCATGAGCTCCAGGCGTGGGATAGCCATGGGCTTACTTGGCGAAAGCCGACTTTTGCTCATGATCAAGCGCGTTTCAGGGCTGGTCTTACCGCATGTCCGGAGATATACTGCTGCAGCATAAGCAGTCTTGCTAGCGTCGCAGAACGTGTGGATGGTGAACTTTTCCACGTTGTTCGAAACGTACGGTCTGGGAATGCGAAGTGCCTCGAGAGACCGAAGACCATTCAGCCACTCGAGCCAACTCCGCCTTGACGAGAGCGGCAGATCTTCATCCCAGGCTGTACCGAGGGTCCACAGCTCCTTCAGCAGCATCTTGCAACGCATGGTGAACGCTGAAATAAGACCCAGAGGGTCGTAGACACGAGCTGATAATCTCAACACGTTCCGTTTTGTAGGCCGTAGCTGCATCCCCAAATCATATAGATCTTTGCTCTGAAAGATGAGCTGATCCTCGTGCGGTACCCATCTCACTCCCAACACTTTTGTCGGCTCTCCGTCACTGGTCGTTAGAAGGATACCTGGCTCACTTGCTCGTTTTGCCGTGTCCGAGCTTCCTGCCACATCGATGCTTCGGTTTATTATGAATATGTACGTCACTGATTCACAGCTACGAAGGCTATTGTTCCATTACCGTAGACGTTGAGCCGAGCAGTGTGGCTGATGGTTCCGAACCGATTGGTAGCTGAGCACGTGACCCAGCCGCCGTCCAGCGGCTGCACCGAACTGATGTTCACGTGACTGATGACGTCATTATTCGTAGTGACGTACTGACCGATCAGACGCCTGCAAAGTTCCGGAGGGCTTTAGGTACACTGTTCAACAAATCACGTCTAATCAATAGCGTAGTATTTATTGATGCCCTTTGATCCTTCACCCTTATGACTCAGAACTACGGTGGACGAGCGATTTTGTCAGAACCCAAACCGTTATTGCATCTAGAGACTAGCAAAGACACGAAGAAAATTAGATAACCCCACAACTTGTTTAACATCCACTAAACTGAGTTATGTCAGCGAACACCAGAGTGACCTGTCCTCTGCAGTCTCCGACCGTGACCTGACCGTCTGACCTGTGATCAGGCAGGAGCGGGTAGCCGTCAAGCCGCCAGCGAATCTGCGGCGTTGGTGACGCATTGGCGACGCACTTCAGCGACACAGCGGAGAACGGCTGGACCGTGTGGTTGATGAAGCGGTCCAGCAACACCGGGTGGGAGTCTGAAACGGCGACAACACCAGGTAAGAGCCTATCTGAAACACCAGCAACAAAATGTAAGGGAGAATGACGGTTGAAGCTATGGACTGTGGAGCCCCGGCAAGTTTCGCCCATTCTTTCTATTTAGTATCTTAACTATGTTTATAGATTGCTGTTTTTATGTCGCATATAGGGTTTCCGCGGTATTTGCTGTGCAGTTTTTATACGACACTCCTTTGTCCACCTCCCCACAGTCATCTTTGCCTTTCTGTTCACGGCCTCCATCATAGCCCATCCCTTTTGCCAATAGCGGCCAAGGTCCTAAAGCAGCTGGTGGTGTCCTTCGGGAGAGTCTCTGTACACACAGCGCGCCGGCCTCCTCTCAGAGGGAGGAGGGCCTCTATAGAACCCGACACACTGGCTCTCCCGTGGGACACCTTTGTGGCCTGGTGTCGGCAGCGCTGCGCGCCACCACGCCGTGAAATATGCATCCGTACGGCCGGGCCGCCGTCGTCGTCGTCTGGTGTCAGTGTCGGTGTCGCTATCGGCGCCGTTACGACGGTACCGACGCAGATGTGACACTCCCGACGCACTATGTAAGAGGCGACTCTCGGATTACGAGGACGCAGAGGCGGAAGGGCACGCGTTATCAGCCGCCGCCTCATGTGCCGACCTACATCGCTGAGGAGAGCGGGAAAACCGACACATTTGGGAAAACGGCACCGCGCCGAGACGGCTTCCGTTGACACACATAGTAGTTATGTGGTGATATCCAGCAAAGCGTTGCTTGAACGTGAGTTTTGGATGTAAGCACATGATGCAGGCGGGCCTGGACTAACATCATGTGCTCTGTGGGAGCCAGATGACCGTAAACATGTACATTTATAAAGTGTTATCTCCATTTTATCAACCTTGCTGGAAACCTTAAGTATGGTGATCGCACAGTGCCATTGGAGCCCCCGGGATGCGAGAGAGGTCTTCAGGTCAAACAAAGGTCACACCAGTGGTGACGTTTTGATGACGACAAATTGCGACTCGTCTGAGCCGGTTCATTAGGTTTATGTTTCGGTAGCATCACCATCACACTAAATGTGACACCTGATATATACCATGTCTGACGGTGTGGTGACCTTCATTACGACACGGTGCAATTAGTTGTGTGCGAGAGAGAACCACTGACAGTGAGGTCAAGCGTGGCGGCGTCCGTCGCTTCGGACACCCAGCGAGTGGGGGGAGGTGTGGGAAGGTGCCCCGAATAACCACTCACCTCCCAGCAGTAGCTGTGCCGAGGCCTGCACTGAGTCCACCTGACTGGAGGCGAAACACTGGTACATGCCCTGGTCGGAGAGCTTCATATCTTTACCCTCCAGCTGAGACATCACGTGGCCATTGCTCACCGCTGGAAACACGGGTACACCGTTAGACGGACGGGCAGAGGTCAAAGGTCAAAGGGTACGTGATGAGAGATGGCATCTGAAGCGTGCTGCGACATACGCCACTGTGTACAAAACGTAAAATATAATGGGTTGTGTCTAGCTGTATTTCAGCATTGTCGTGAGTATTCTCTACATTACTCCTGCTTCTCTCTCTCTCTCTCTCTCTCTCTCTCTCTCTCTCTCTCTCTCTCTCTCTCTCTCTCTCTCTCTCTCTCTCTCTCTCTCTCTCTCTCTCTCTCTCTCTCTCTCTCTCCTCTCTCTCTCTCTCTCTCTCTCTCTCTCTCTCTCTCTCTCTCTCTCTCTCTCTCTCTCTCTCTCTCTCTCTCTCTCTCTCTCTCCTCTCTCTCTCTCTCCTCTCTCTCTCTCTCTCTCTCTCTCTCTCTCTCTCTCTCTCTCCTCTCTCTCTATCTCTCTCTCTCTCTCTCTCTCTCTCTCTCTCTCTCTCTCTCTCTCTCTCTCTCTCTCTCCTCTCTCTCTCTCTCTCTCTCTCTCTCTCTCTCTCTCTCTCTCTCTCTCTCCTCTCTCTCTCTCCTCTCTCTCTCTCTCTCTCTCTCTCTCTCTCTCTCTCTCTCTCTCTCTCTCTCTCTCTCCTCTCTCTCTCTCTCTCTCTCTCTCTCTCTCTCTCTCTCTCTCTCCTCTCTCTCTCTCTCTCTCTCTCTCTCTCTCTCTCTCTCTCTCTCTCTCTCTCTCTCTCTCCTCTCTCTCTCTCTCTCTCTCTCTCTCTCTCTCTCTCTCTCTCTCTCTCTCTCTCTCTCTCTCTCTCTCTCTCTCTCTCTCTCTCTCTCTCTCTCTCTCTCTCTCTCTCTCTCTCTCTCTCTCTCTCTCTCTCTCTCTCTCTCTCTCTCTCTCTCTCTCTCTCTCTCTCTCTCTCTCTCTCTCTCTCTCTCTCTCTCTCTCTCTTCTCTCTCATCGTTTCAACCACATCCTCGGTTCCCTCGACATAAAGTCTCCGACACAGCTGCGACGTCATGTAACTTCAACCGAATGAGCTTCTTCCAATGAAAACAAATGGCGAAATCATGCTAATCCCACTAAATGTCGACCTCACCAGCCTCACGGCCTTGCGTGTGGTTTGAATAAGAGGTCATTGTGACATCATCAGCACATGCGTAATGGTCTGTTGGAGACCACATTAAAACGGAGCATATATGGAAAGATAAGCTTGGGGCCCTATTGCGGGATAAGGCTCTTGTGACTGACTTGTCGATTCCTTTGAGCAAAAGCATCAACGCACTAGCTACAGGCTAAAACCTCTGACTGCGGAATGTAGATGGTCGTGACCTGATAGCAGAGCTGGGCAAGTGCGTTCCTTTTGTGCGTTCCTGCGTTCTTCCGTACGTACGCACCGCCCTTTTAAGGTACGCAAGAACGCAGGAACGCAAAGTTTTTCAAAGGAACGCAAGTAAGAGGAACGCACCACCCGAAATTTTGAAGCGTTCCTGCGTTCTTGCGGAACCACCCGAAAAATTATATTGCTGCCAATGACCTCTGTGTCAAATGTTTGAATCTCGAGTACGTGTGTTTGCCGGTAGAGGCGCCACTTGTCGGTCCAATCGAGGAAGGCTTGCTTAGATTTAGTGGTGATGTTTACTATTCGATTCGGTTTCAGGCATTAAATGTGAAAAGTAAATATGATAACTTTTACTAAGATACATCTTTTAACTTAACTATTGTTTTTAAGCAGGTCGTATTTTTGTTGAAAACCCTACGGATGATATTGGTAAAACGTATTTCAGATATTCGATTCGGAAAAGAGATGTCGAGCTGCTTTTCGGCCCCACGTCGCCATTCTGGGTATTCTGTGATCGATTCGCCCCGTGTTTGGTTGGGCCCGCGCCGCGTGGTTCGGCGGTATTTTTGAGGGAGGAACGCAGGAACGCAGGAACGCTAACGCACCGAGCGAAAAAAAATTGAGGAACGCTATTCCAGGAACGCACTAACCGCGGCCGGAGGAACGCAGGAACGCTAACGCACTACCGAAAATCGAGGAACGCGCCCAGCTCTGCCTGATAGTGACAGCAAATAATCATAATTCACATTGCAAAGTGGCGTTTCGGTTTGGCATTAAAACAGTTTTATCCTCAAGTCTTCAAACTACAACTCCCAGAACTATCAGACAATAGAGGAATATAAGTTACCTGGTCAACTTTTTTGAGTCGAATGTTCCGCTTTCCTTCCTCACATACAACCTGCGCAGTAATTTCAACAACTGGATCGAGCTTCTCGGCTGGCATTGGTGCCCCCCCCCCCCGCGACGGTCGGCGTAATGACCCACCTTCAGTGACGCTCAACTGGTGCCCTCCATCCACCGGAGTCCCGTCTCGCAGCCAGTGTAGGGAGGCCGGACGCGGTGCGGTGCACCTCAGCCTAAAGGTCTCCCCTCGGTGGACCGTTTGACGGGCCGGGGTCACACTGACTGAGAGCGACACCTGTGGGCGACACGAGCAACCACTGAGAGTGACACGGCACGGGCAGTTACAGGCAGCGACATCCAGGAGTAACATGAGTAGTTACTGAGAGCGGTTCGGCGGCAGAGGTGAAGAGCCATCTGTTGGCGAAACGGGCAGTCGTGCGAAATATGAGCGGCAGAGGTCAATCAATCGTCGGCAGTGAGTTGGGCAAACACACCTCCGGTAATGAGACTTAGAAGCATGTCAGTAAATTTTTATTTTATATGCAGGAAATAATGATCCGCTGGCGGAGCCGCACGGTCTTTTGATTTAAGTCCAAACCTTGGACCACTTGAGACGTGCTGGGAATGTGTGTTAGAGGTCATAGCCGTAATGAACGCATCGCTGTGCTAATAATCATTGGCATGGCCACAAATATTCCAACTGTGATATTCATACATGAGCTGTCACACGAGAGACAAAATGGCATCCACATTTCAGTCCAATGCCATGAGAATCACATAAAATCAGCCATTAAAACAGCAGAGCCGCCGAAGGTGCCAGCCATCTCCACTTCGGCTCCCGGGGCTGTTAAAGTTCCCATTCACCGGCCAACCATGGCTGATGGGAGCTCGTAACATTCCCAATGAAAGCAAATGAGCTGTCGTGCAGGTTGTACGACCGCCGCCCGTCGTGTCGCTATATCCGGCCAGATAATGAGTAGGAGAGAGGCAGATGGAAGGTCTTCAGTAGCCGTTCTTTAAAATTAACAGCGGCACATTTTACTTCAACCTTGTAAGATAGAGCTTGATACTTCTTAATTATTTACAACGCTATCCTAAGGACATAGCCTTCAGTGAGCCATCCATCCGACAGAAAAATAAGAATGAAAAGCAAATATCTTAAAATCGTCACTACTCAGACTCCATTTCTGTGTCATTACAGTGACAAGGCAATTTTGCCCTGTCCTTGCGAGGGATTGGCCGCATGCCTGATGCTTATCGGCAATTGACACATTCTCCATTGTCCGGAGCTCCTACAACTGTGTAGCTATACGTAGACAACGTTTCAAGAGAATACGATGAGTTTTAGGTAGGTACCACTGATATCGTAACATTCACCATAACGCACACACCCACAGCCACACACACACACACACACTCACCAGCACCTGCAGGTATACATCAGCTGTGTCGTGCCCGGCGTCCGTCTGAACCAGACAGCTGTAGCGGCCACTGTGTTCGGGCAGAGCTGATCGCAGCACCAGCAGCTCGCCGTGAGCGGAAGCGCCCTGTTCAGCAGCTGCTGACGATGCACCGCCGGCGTCCTGTCCGGCCCGAGTCCACCTGCAGTCAGAGGCAGCGGTGGAGCGTCAGTCGCATAGTTATTCTACCAGTGTGTGTGTGTTTGTATATGACTGCATGGTGTATGCAATATGCATGTATGTATGTATGCATTGTATAAATATTCCTACTAATAACTGTTGAGTATGCCGACACCTTCCAAGGAATATGGAATAGCTTTTCCTTTGCGACGAAGTTTCAAACTGCAGATATCAACAGGCCTCTCATATTATTGATGAGACTTCGATTTCTGAACTCCGGCAGTGAGCACGTGCCACAGAAAGACGCGGTAGGTAACAAATTTCCAGCTAGAGCGGATCAAACGTCACAAAAGTGAGAGTCGCCTGGCTGCCAGCCACTCCAAACATGTTAACTGTCTTGGGTGTCACTTCCCGTCATGTCCACGACACTTGTGGTGCCAGAGGAATTATATCCGTCATCTATGAGTGCTAAAGATCTGACGGATGGCGCATGAATGATTCATATTTCACGGAAGCTGACTGAACTGGAATCGCCGGCAGCCTGGGGCGAACTCCATTGAGTCGGGTTCTCGGCAGGCGGCGGGCCCCTCCGCGAGCCTGTGGGCGCTCCACGACTCTACCTTCATCACTCTGACGCGCGGCTTCTGAAAGTCAGCAGCACCTGTAACAATCTAATTATAGACCCAAATCCCGAACACTCTCAGCGCTGAATGAAGTGTTGATTGGAAGAATGCAGATTTGTCGGAAGACAAAAGAATGCGTCTGAATATGTTCAGGCGCTGCAGAAAACTGCCTTTGTGCTGACGACGAACTCTAATCAGTGTAGGCTTTGCAGCCTCTTACCAAAACGAGCTAAGACGGAATTAGACTGCGCCTGCCCGGGCTCGGTTCTGTCCTCTCCTGACATTGCCTATCAGGAAGGGAATATCATGGAAAGCAGTCATAGTCAAACTAGTAGCTTCATGGGCATAAACGTTGATAACTGACTTTTGAAAAAAGAAGTTCCGGTGAATTACAATCAACAAACAGACATAACATGTACTTCTGTTAGATGAATGTCGGATACAACGACAGTGCTGCTCCAGGCTGTCAAAACCAAGAAGACAATGGCCCTGCTAGGCACGACTGACGATGCCGATTGTCCGTAAGCTATCGCTTTGTGTCATGACCCAAATCCAAGTCATCCTCCCTGAACGGATAGTGGAGGACGGGTCGTCGAAACTCTGAACAACTCCAGTCATCCGTAAATCATAAACTGTCCGCAAGAGGCAGCGGAATTGAACGGAGCGGCGGCCAACCGGAGACTGGAGGAGCAAGAGCTGCAGGAGCAGGGAACGGGAGCTTCGGAGCAGGGAACGGGAGCTGCGGGAGCGGGGAGCGGGAGCAGCGGGAGCATGGAAACGGGGGCTGGTGAACAAAGGAACGAGAGTTGCTGGAGCTGGGGAACGGGGGCTGCTGTACCGGGGAAACGGGAGCTTCGGAGAAGGGAACGGGAACTGCAGGAGCGGGGAAACGGGAGCTTCGGAGCAGGGAACGGGAGCTGCAGGAGCGGGGAACGGGAGCTGCCGGAGCAAAGGAACGGGGCTGTGGGAGCGGGAACGGGAGCAGCAGGAGCGGGGGAACGCCGAACGGGTCTGGTGAACGAAGGAACGAGAGCTGCTGGGGCTGGGGAACGGGAGCTGTCGGACCGAAAGAACGGGGTCTGCCGGAGTGGGTAAACTGGGGCTGCCGAACTGACTGAACGGGAGCTGCCAGACTGGGTGAGTGAGAGCTGCCGGACCGAGTTAACTGGATCTACAGAGCGCAATCCTTCGGCGGCGGCCCGCTCAGCCCATCCGCACGCACCACTGGCCCACTGACCTGGACGGTATTGATTGTGGGGGGCAGCGGCACGGCTTCACTGCAGTGACCGGTCCGCCGGGAACGCCGCCGAAAGCAGGCTCAGTACAAACTGAGTTTACATAGGCATCCCGATAGCGCTGGGATCATAAGCAGCCGTGACAAAACTAAAGAAACAAAAGGTCAGAAAAATAGATTGGCTGCATCTGCTTGCTTGTTGTGCCTGTGTTTTTCTTCTTCTTTATTTTCCTTTTTTAGTGTCGTCAGTTGTTTGACTTTACTGTAGCTATATGCCAAACAACGACGGGGTTTCGAATTAAACAAAAAAATCAATTAAAATTGCTCTCCCCCTTCTCCGGGGCCGGCTCGCCCTGCAGACCGATGCAGCAGCCTATCATAACAGATTCTATGCCCGGCGCGCGAGGCATTTGTCATCACCCGAATTCAGTTATCGCGGATATTGGTCTTAGAGATGATGGGTTGGGCGGCTGTCTCCTGTCTGATATCTGTCTCCCGTCAGTTATCCCTTAGACGTCGTAAGGATGACATACCGGACGGTATATCTCTCCGTCCTCCTCTCCCTCCTTCAATATTAGTCTTGGGAAGAAGCGAAATGATTAATCGATCCCCTGAATGGTCCCCTATTATATGGCTCTACCTTTCTCTTTTTCTTTCATCACCTTTCTAGACAATGGTCCACTATCAACTCACCTCTTCTCTCTTCCCCCTACCGTCTTTTGACATCCTTCCCTGTCATCTCTCCCCTCTTCTCCTTGGATATTGGTCTCTAAGGGCCTGACATGTCGGTAGGTCGGTTCCCCGTCATCTCCGTCTCGAAGCAGAGGTCACCACGCACCAGTCCCGTCAGTGATCCTGGGTCGAGGCCTCCTGTCGTTGACCCATCGTCGGTAGCGGAGCAATGAGCTGTTGCTGTGCGACGACAGATCATTGTTTGTTCTGGATTATCTATCGGCGCCCGACGCTCTAGCGCTTTGGTCTTCGGTCCATAAGAGACAACAAACAGCCTTGGCGTCTGAAGCTGAGCCGTACTTAAGATCTTTTTGATGCTACCGATCTTGGCAGCTACGGGGGGTCCCCAAAGCGGACGTGATTTAAGTAACGCAGGCCTTAATTTCTTATCAGGACATCCCCATGCGACGTGCATCCGCTTTGTAGATGAACTTTACAAGGTATATCCGTAAAGCACAAAGAAATAGAATTGCATTCCGAGAGCAGCTTACAAATAATTAATAACAGCACATTTACCTTTCAGTTGGACAGCATATTGTCTCCATGTGACCAGCAGACCTGTCTGTACATACGGTCGATCCACCGTGGATACGTGGAGAACTTTACGTCACAATCCACAGTTTATGACCAACCACAGCAGTAGCATGGCCATTCGAAGATTTATAACTCCGGAAGTTGTAACGAGGGAGGTAGAATCAGTGTCACATCGCATATCTCTTGTCATATAACTAAGAATCAAAGTGCTTTCTGGCATTGCGATATGAAGCAAAAGATTGAGGGCAGGTAATGACTGCATGCAAAAAAAAAGAGCCACAAAATGAGAAGATTAAGCAGATAGTGAAAATGAGTTAAATCAGCTTATTGTACACTTATAACTTTTTCTTTCGGCAGTAGGTGTTGTTTGAATGTCAGCAATAATAATATCAAATAATTAACAGAAGGACAGCAGAATTTCAGTGCATTTTACTGATTTCAAACGGCCACAAGGTATCTTAGAGCGAGACATCAGCCAAAGTTTCATTTATCCATCACGCATGCAATCATGCTCGACCACACCCTATTGAGCGCGACTTCGGCCGCTAGGCCTCGTGTGACGGACACTCCACCACTCGGCCCCGCTAAATAACCACATGCTCGGAGCGCCGACCGGCGAAATTTGCTCGGCCGCCGGGCTCGCTCGGACGGGCGGCCGACAGGTCGGCTCCATCCATCGCCGGGAGCCGTCAGAGTGGGCCAGCCCGCCCACCGAGCCAGCAGCGCCCAGGTGCTATACGGAACGCCGCGCGCCGACGCTCCACCTCAGCCGCAACAGCCCGCCACGGGCCCAGCAATTTATTACGCACTAAATTAACTCCTGGTCCATAAACTGCATAATTTCCCCGGGCCGGCAGCGACGTCAAAACATGTTCGGCGCCAGACTATGCACGGAAGCGACGTGTGGGTGGTGGGCAGAGGATGAACACTCTGGGGGACGAGGACAGTCCTCCGCTCAGGAGAGTGGCCCCAGAGAAAATATGGCGGCTCCGGCCGCGCCCGGCGGCGGCAATGGCGGCGCGAGCTACTTCAACTGTCGTGCCGGGCCGTTCCCCCAACATTACGTGCGCTAATACGGCCGGCGACGACATCCGATACTACAATCAGCCACTATATGGCGTCTACGGAGTGAATCAGCGACTCGCGGGACGAGCATTAGAGAGGGGGTCGTGGGCGCTGTCCCAGAAGAGATGAGATCTGAGACCGTTATGCAGAATATCAAATCGCGCCGCTCTCTGAATACACGCCTTCAATGTAGTTGATGCACTGTGCAGCATGCAGGCTTGCCAGCTGTGAGATGTCGGTGTCCGTTCTTTTACCTGGGAGATTCTCATCTACGCCGCGGCTTCCGGCGATCCACGGAGCATCATCCGTGAGAAATTGAGCCAACTCGGTGGAGAATGAAGCGGTTTAAAAGCAACCACACTCCATTTTTCAGTTCGCGCATAAAGTCTCTCTGTCCTGGGAAAATTATGACACCGAATGTGCTCCTCAGGGCGTACTATGGTCCCTAAAGAGATGGCAGAGCCGGAGCGAAGCGTCGTGCGGCACACAAACGATCCATCCACTTCCACAATGAAGCGGAAGCGCCGCCACTATCCCGGGTGCTCGGCCTCAGACCAGCTCAGCCCGCTTCGGCCGAGATAACCCGACGTTTGACCTTATCACGTGGAGAAAGCCGATCTAATCATTGAACTCGGTCACATACCGTTTAAACGGAATATGTGGTTCAGTAACCTACAAACTACAAAATAGTGCAATCTTATCGTAAAATTGTTCACACTTCATCTTTTATTACTACTTGGAAATGGGACGACTGAAATATACATTCGATATCACAACTCGCATCGTTCACCAGGTAGTTGCAACCCACATATTCAGAAATTACAAATAATGTGAAAAGGGGAATTATATCAGTCAAATGGTTACTTAATAAGACAATTGACTGAAAAAACTGTAGTCTAATCTTTCTAAATAAATTTAAATCTAATCTGGATGTTTATAGTCCTCGCGTATCTTTAATCAGTGACATATACCTGACAAAATATAGTATAATACAAGCACTAAAATATAAACATACAACGTGATTGAGTTATGTTTATCCAATAGCACTCAAATGTCAACAATTCCTGTCCCTACAGTACCACCACATTCGCAAGGAAGCCGAGCCTATTTTGCGTCACGTCGGTCATTTCAGGATGCACATCTGGGTCGAACCAGATAATGACAATGCTGGAGCTATCGCATATCATTTATCAGGGAGCATCAAGTTTTTTTCCCTGGTAAGTATCATTCGATATGCTTATTACTTGCAATGCCACATAACTATTATTTATTCACAAAATATGGTACAAAATGAAATCGTTATTATAAAAACAAACACACTACAACATTTCCCAAGTGTGTTATTCCTTCCGTATTTGTAAATCTCGAGTACATGATTTGTTTATTGCGAGTGTAGCTGCGTGATATCCTTTCTGTGGTCCCTCAGCCGGCGATCATTCAGGTCTGTAGCCGCGGCGCCCGCGGCACTGGGCGCCTGCCATTGTGTGTGCTTTGCTGCGGCTGATGAGGGCTGGCAGAGATTGTCGGCTCCCGCTGCGACTCTCAGAGAACGGAGGGAGATGGGGAGAGAAGGAGAAGGAGAGGAAGAGGGAGAGATTCGCTGCAAGGAGTGATCGCGGCGCCACGCCATCCAAAGGAGTGGGGAGAGGGAAGAGAGTGACCGGGGCGAGGACTGAGGAGTGGTGGGTGAAAGGAGGTGATAGAGAGCAGTTGAAGGGTTGAACAGGCGAGGGCGGTGAGAAAAATAGACGGTAAAAAAGAATCGGTGGTGAGAAGAATGAAAGTGATGAAGACTTGAACATTGAGCACTGATGACAATGAAATGCAAACAGTCAAGTGGCTATGTTCGAAACGCGTAACGTTTGAATACCGACAATGAGTTGGAATCTTGCTAATTCATCCATAGAAAGATTTAAGGTAATAAACCAAATGTGACGGTTGAATGAAGCCGGTCGAATGGTGAGCAGAAAGGGTTACAGCAGTACCTAAAACTGTTTTCAATCAGTGATGCTGCATAAATTAATTAATTATATCACTTTATGACACGCTAGCTTATCACACCTCCAAACGACAATTGTTTCATGTGCCATTGCTCCTGAAGTGTGTAACATGTCGCCGTTATCCACGTTCCCATCAATTTCTCTGTTGACTGACCTGACTGCCGGCCGCGGCTCTGCCGAGTGGACCACGCAGAACAGAACCGTCTCCTCGCCCTGGCGAACCTGCTGGGCCGGCGATGAGGCCACGATCCGCGGCCGGGTCGACACAGAGAGCGGCTCTGGAACGACACAGTCGGGTTGACGACCGTCAGGGAACAGCAGACACAGAAGGCCGGCTGGAGCCTCAGGCGGGCCCACACGCGGTCCCGGCTAACTGGCTACATTTGTACTGCTGTTTAATGTGTGGTCGCTTTATCAGAATGTTGTCACAGTTAGTGGAGTTTCTGGAGTGTTTGTGGTGTTTCTATTTTATTGTCTTTCCGAACTTTGCCGACAATGTCAAAAGAGGCACCAGCCTCCGATATAGTGATCCAGACAAAGGGGGTCGTAAATAAGAAACAGCAGCCCTCTGTCCACCAATAAAAATCAAGTAATTGCTGTCCCAATATCGGATTTGGGCGGCTGCAGTCCGGTCATCTGGCTAATGTATCAGCTGTTGTGTCTCGTTGATCAATTTTATTCACTGAAACAGGATGCTGTTGAAGGTTAATGATACATGTCACTGGTTTTAGAGTTAGACCTATGTTAGGTTTGTGTTTAACCCTCGCGGGCCCGTGGGGGGCGTTTTTCGCCCCCCCCCCCCTGGCGAATATTTGCGATAACTCCCGAACGCTTAGGGATAGGAAGGCGAAACTTTCAGTACCTTTTCTCCCATCAATTTGACATCTTCTGAAGTAAAAAATTTGGACCTAGTCCCCTTGATGACGTCACAAGGTCCATTTTTCTAGACCCCTGCACGGCAAAAATCGGCGTCACAGACGCAAACTTCAAATAGCTGCTAAAAATAGAGTTTTAGAGATAAAGACAAATTACGAGCACGGCTGTGTAGCGTTTGACCTAGAGAAAAATAGAAAAACAGTTTTGGTGACCTGAGGTCAGAGGTCAGGTCAACGACCCCGAAATGTGGTTTTAGTTTTTCACAAATAACTTCGACAAAAATGGTCCTAGAGCTACGGCAGTGGTACCATCGCATTCGCCTTGTCAAGCCGCGTCGAATGATATATATTTTGTTCGGAAAAGGTCAAGTTTCATGTTGACCTCATGTGACCTCGAATGACCTCTGGTTGACCTTGACACATGAAAGGTCGTTTATGATGGATTTGTACCCGCTGATCACGAATCTGGCATCTATTTTCCTCTAAGCCTTCATTTAGAGCTTCCGGATGGCAAAATTGTCTTATTTATTATTACTAACTTGAATCAGTGAAATAGCCTCTAGCAGGGATACTCTTCTGTGACCTTGACCTTTGAACAGCCTTGTATCGTAAGATGAACCACAAATAGGGAACTGATAAGCCTCAAAACATTTCAAAACATCTTGGAAGTTAGCACGCAAGATGTGCGAAAAAGTGCCATGTTTGAGGTCAACTTTGAGCGTGACCTTGACCTTGACCTTTGATTTGGAGCACATTTTCAGAATCCTCAAATTCTCTTCTTTCGTTTGACACCCAATTTTGCCGGTTTGATGCAGCCTGCCGTCCTCTAGAAGGCTTACTTTGAGATCACTACACATGTGCCGGTTTTGGCCTTTGACCTTGACCTCTGACCTTGAAAATTGACCTGAGGTCAAAAATTTTAGGTGCATTAGAATCGTCTCGTAAGGACCTTTCGTTTGGTATCTCTTTTGTTTCCGTAGCTCCCTTATTTACGGAGTTAGACATGGGGGCGAAAAACGCCCCCCCCCCCCCGGGCTGCGGTGGCTGGGATTACCCCCCGGGCCCGGCCGGGTTAATTTAAAATTAACACCCAATTGATTGTATATTAGTTTGGTAGATGAGGAACAGACTAGTTCCGCACTGTGGCCGAGCTAAACCAGCAGAGCCACATTCGCCCACTTCCTCTAATCTGCAGAACCTTTTACGGCGCCAACGGGATGGATGGAGCCCATGTGCCACCCCTCCCCCAGTAACCCCGGCTCGGCGGCAATCATCCAGTCACCCCTTCGACCCGACACCCTCCCGGAGCCATCATTTGCCACAGGATGGCGGAGATAAATCGCGGATTACTTCATCACTGGAGAATATCATGGCGCGCGAGGACGGCTTTTTATCCCCACCGACCCCTGCCGACATCAATTGGTGCCTTAGGAGCGACGCGATATAGTGCGAGCGTGACCCGGGGGCCGCCCACCAGCTCAGCAAGTCAGCTCTATCGCCCAAAAGAGAGGGTGAATTACGGAGCGCTCCGCTTCCAATAGGTGCTATTGGAATTCCACAATAAAATGAATATTATTTTAAAGCCTTTTCCAAAGACATCGCATGCCGATTTTATTAGAAAAGAAGTCAGAGTGGTGAGTAAAACGTGACGTACCTTGCTCGATGATGCGTGCCGGCTGTCGGCTGATCACGTGACCGTCAGTTAGTGTATGCACCGTCCGACACGTGTAGCGGCGAGTGACGTCATCAGTCGTGACGTCACGCACCAACAGCTCGCCCGACGGCAGCATGTGATGCTTTTCATCTGAAAATACACAGAGATATTCATGAGAAACATTATGGCGCCACGTGCACCGACCAGAAGTCACAAAAAATTCCCCATATCGGTACAAAGAGGCTGAGCTGGTGACAAAATAAATAACTTAACGTGATATGCAAATCATTGCTTTTTTAGGAACGTAAGTATGCACATACAGCCCACCGCTAAAGTAATGTAGGGTTTTACCAATCTCAACGGTTGGCTTTGACTGGCGATTGTTTAACCCGCGCGGGGCTGGGGGGGGTAAATTTTACCCCCCCCCCCTCGCGAATTTTTGCAATATCTCAACAACGGCGGCGCGCAGCGCCGCCAAACTTTCAGTACCTTTTCTTACATCAATTTGACACGTTCCCTGAAAATTTGAGCAAAATCCGTCGGAAAATTTTTGAGAAATTGACGTTTTAGTGACGTCATGTTCGCCATTTTCGCCTCAAAAACGGCAAAAGTTCAAACGCCGCTAACATCTTCATTTTTAAAGGAATCAAGACGTAACAAAAAAGGATATACGTAATTCTACTTTGTCTATCAAATGGCTATCTCGGTTTTTTGAAAATTTTGGATTTTGGCCCAAATTTTTTCAAAAAACTGACTTTTTTGGGAAAATAGCTATAAAATCCAAAATTTTGAGTGTATCGAAAAAACCGGAATATATGTCAGAGAAGTGGTCTATGTGTACCTACATACCAAGTTTTAGAAGAATCGGTTCAAAAATGTGGGAGTTATTCAAAATTATATGACGTCACGACACACAAAATTTTTGAAAATGACTTTTTTGGAAGTTCTAGACCTCGTACGGAAACAAAAATAGCACCATTCGATTCGTGAAAAACTGCATCAGATAGACACCTTTTTAGGCCTTAACAACCAACTTCAAAATTTGACCTCACTTGACCTGACCTTGACCTGACCTCGACCTGAAATTCATCCAGAGGTGGTCCATATCACTTATTGAGTGTGCCTATTGAATTCTATGAGTAAAATGACCCCTAAAACATGTGTCGCACATGCCCTTTTCTATATTTTGTTTTTGGTGACCTGACCTGACCTGACCTGACCTTGACCTTGACCTCTGAATGATATTGTATGCAACGAATATTGTCTTGGTAGCCTAAGAACACGTTTTGGGCGATCAGTCTCAGTCCATGACTCCATTCTTCGGCAACTACGGTGCAAGGCCGATACTGTAGGAACTTGCAATTTGTACCCTTGACCTGACCTTGACCTTGACCTCAAACTTAAAATTAAGTACATGTTTTTAGTTGTTCGTGATGAGATCTTTCGATTGGCGTTTGAATTTTCCAAATCGGACCATTAGTTCGGGAGATAACAGGGGGGGTAAATTTTACCCCCCCAGCCCCGCGCGTTCGGCTGGAGACCCCAGTCCCGCGCGGGTTAATGCGGAGTGATCGAAAAGAAGATGTCAATAGCTAAAGTTGCAGCTGCAAGGGTGACGATACATATAAGCTACATTCAAAGTTTCATTGTAGTCTGGTTAATCGTTCCTAAGCTTCAGAAGCAGAACATACCCATGACTGAAACCCCACATTACTTCTGCTGTGGACTGTACTAATCTCGTGGGAGAATATCAGAGTTCAGATTCCACAGGACTGGCTTCAAGTTAGGTCTCCTTTCAACGTGATAAGACATAAATGCGCCATGCGATGGTTTTCTTCGCAGTATTTTCTCCGAAATTTTCTAGCAAAAATCTGCATTGGATATTACCTATTTGAAATACAAAATGTAGGTACAGCAGGTAGCAGGTAGGTAGGTACGGCAAGCAGGTAGGTACCTTTGGCCGCCCAAAATAAATCTGCATCACAAACATCGGTCAATATTAGCTTTCTTTGGAACTGGTCATGCAGTAATGCAGCCAGACAAATTTGCTTGCGATTCTGTCCGGCTTTTGAAATCACAACAGTCTGCCAAGTCGCATAACACTCAACTTTGATGAGATCGCTGACATTCACAAAGCCTAGCAGGCAATCAACAAATGTACCTGTTGGATTAAACCTCCTTGCGTGTGATCACAATTTTGTTTGCGTTTCCAGTGCATTTAACTAATGAGATCGTGCCAGCATAGAAATATGGTGTGGCATAGTTCACTGGACCCGGGCATCACAAAGCCACTACCGCGTCGGCTAGGCTCTGCACGGGGCAAACTCCAGCTGAGGTTTCGAGCACAATCTCTCACACGTTTCTCTCGCCGCGCCGGTACGGACGTATGTTACTGAGAAATTTTAACTGGGTTTCAAGTGTGGGGTTAACGCTGTGAAGTACTATACTAAGAGAGCGGGTGCTTATGCGAAAAGAAGGTTAAATTATTCTTACAGCTCTACGACGGGTCATAAGTGTCACTATAATATCAATCCTGCCCATAAATATGAAATAGGGGTCCATAAAAATATGCATTAATATTTGAAATTGTGTACGGTCACATACTTGGCAAAAACACGCTGCAACGAGCTGTTTATATGGAATTGGTGCTAAGCTAAGAGCAGGATTCAAGCCCAACACGCAAAATTCCAGCATTCGTATGAAAGCCACCCATCACTGGGTGTATGTTGGACGAGCCTCTCCCCATCTATCGGAGCCCACATCCCCGTCAACTCCTATCTGATCGGCTGTCTCGCGCCCCACTGAGCGCCTGGAACTGTAGCCGCTGAAGCCTCTGCGCGCGGGGCTCTGTTTACAGTTAAATTGTCCGCCTAAGCGGCGGTGACAGGTCGGCGGTGACGGGCGCGGTGCGGTACTCGGTCCGACACCATCTCCGCCGCTCGCCGACCGCCAGCTGGCCGCCTCCTGAGACCATCTGCAAGTCGGATAGCCGGCTCTCTTTGAACTGCACTCGCTCCGGGGAGAGCCGGAAACGGCCGGAACTGGGCGCGATGGCGGTAAAAACTGGCGGGCTGATGGGGTGTCGAGACGGGCCCATCAGAGCGGCGGGTGATGGATGCGGCGGCAGACGCCCGGACCGCCGCGCCGGCGCGGCGGCCCGCAGAGATCGCTGATCGACAGCGAGAGGCATCGAGAGGCTGGCACGGCTGAACACACTCACAATATGTCGGTGCCCCAGCGGCGACTGAAAAAGGATCTGCAGAGACTGCAGTTTTGGTAGGGCCGTATAGACATGCGGACGCTCGAGCACCACTGTTACCGAGGGGGCCACCGCAGCTACTCATTGTCAATTAATGAGTGAAAACGCAATGATTTAAGAGCACAATTGGGTCCCAAATCCAGTCAAATAGGCATCTACGTTGGATTTTGCATGACGCATCCAGAGCTCTGTCAGATAAACATTATCTGCCCACCTCCAACAGATTTTGAATGATGTATGAAATTAGACTCGTTGGAATGTAATCTTACGTGGGCGATATACATAATTAAAGGGCAAAGCTCCTTCCGCAGGCGGCGGCGGTAAAATGCATAGCGCTGGTTCTTATGGCCACTTTCGGCCGGGTCTATTTGGTGAGTGGAGCTCGGCCAGCGGTTTCACGGGCTCGGCCGAGCGCAGATGTCGGAGATAGCACGGGAATGGAACGCTAGGTCGGGCTGGACCGCAAACCAACTATGTACGGCGCACTGATGGGACCGAGCTGGAACCCATGAGCCTAAGCAGAGAGACTAAGCCCCACTGATAGAACTGACCTATAGGACTAACACCCGACACATTTCTGCATAGACTTAACCCACTAATGAGACCGAACTACATCCACTGATGATACCAACGGCCGTACTACACTGAGATTGACGACAGATAACCGCGTCCCATTCTATTCCAATTGGCTACGACGTTAGCCGTGGCTCCCCGGATCTCTTTCATACGGATTTTGAGAAACATCGCACAAGCCAATTCAGCAAATTGCAAAAGGAATATGGAAGAAAAGAATACATATTGTTATGGGTAACACAGCTCGATTTCCGTTGTTTCTGGCTTCCGTATATTTCAGTAGAGGCGAGAATATAAAAGGCTTCCACGCTTAGAAACAGGCTTTCAGCTTTACTTTTCCTCCAACTGAACTTTTATTCCTACCTTCACTTCGATGTTCATCGTAAATTCGTTGCGGATGCTGAATTAATACATAAACTACTACATAGTTAGATACTGCTACATAAGCTACTAAATAGGTACAGAACTACTACTGCATCAATGCTTCAATGAAATAAGCAATTTTATCGTTTATGGCTTAGTAGAGTTATGTTTTTCCTAGAAATTTGGCGACGCATAGGTATTACTTACAAATGCTCCAGGCTTATATTTTAGAGGAAAACATTGACGTGGAACCAATCAAAACGCGGATACAGGATGACGTAGAAAGCAATATACTCAAAGTCTTGCACAGCTAAGCTTTTTTATCATCGAGTGATCGCCAATATCGGGAATTCCACGTCGTTCTATAACCATAATGGGCCACCAGCTACCGTCATCACCCACTGAAAGCCATTTCTGTGAACAAGACCGAGCACTACCAGTGATGAGTTGACCGCTCTGCGGCGGTATTACGACCCGGCAGTCTTACCTCCAAACAGAGTCGGGTAGACATTGAGTGAGCTGTCCACGGCCCACGAGGTGACCTTGACCACGGCCCGCACGTGCGCCGGCACGTGGCACGTCAGCACCGTTGTCTGACCGAGCGGTGTGCGCACGTCGGCGGCCGTGATCTCGTAGTCTTGGAGTACCACTGGAAGGGGAAGGGCGTCGTCTGTCAGTACTCAGGACATCTGGAAAGTGGCCTCCGACAGTTCACAGTGTCACTGTTTGGAGGGTCGACCACTGAACACCACTGGTTGGGGTTGGGGAGCTTTTGACCACCAGTATTCACACACTAGATGAAAATCGATTTCGACCGTCAGCGCTGGAAGGGTTAACACCGAGGGGACGCCTAAGGTCCACCGCGAAAAATCGACGAGAAACGGGGCCAGATGAACAAGGGCCGCATTAGTAACTCGCGGATGACAGGAAGAGGAAAAGTGCTGTTATACTAATGGACCAAGGTGATGAGACCGACAGTAAATAAAGGAACTCTGAAATATGACGGCAGTCGGCAGCTGTTGTAAAAAAGAAAAGAGCACTTAGACATCAGCTACCTAAAAAACGACCAGATTTATTTGTCTGGCTATACGTACATAAGTTACATTATTTACCTAGGAAGAAGAAATTAAAGTGCCGAGTGGTTAAGCAAGCAAACGAAGAAGCAAAATGAACGCTCGTGTCATACATTTCGGTGTCATACTTTACGCTGATCGGCGATTGGTCACTGATGGTCACGACTGCAACTCTACGTGACAAACACCTTGTTTATAAATTTCGTCCAAATGTTGAGTGTGCTTCTGTGGTAGTATAGGTTTCATCCGTAATAAACCTTGTCGTATGGCAAAACCAGCACACCATACCCACGCCAGTTTTACCACTGCTAATTAAGATGGAAAGTTTGATGAACAAGTAAGTATGTAAGTACATACGCGATGAAACTTTCCGGGCCAAACAAGTTGTTCTTTTCGTCTGGAATTATCTACCACCGGGCTGTGACACTCGCGTGTTACCTACTGGTCACACTGGAGTGTGAGTTCGCGTGATGCCATTAGAGGCTCTCTCGGCTGCGTGGCTGTGGTAGTTTACACAGCGACACCCGTGTTTTGCGGGTTCAGTCTGGAGCCAGCCGATGATGATTTGGGCGAGGGGGGGCTGATGATGGGGGGGGGGCTGGCGTGACGAGCCGTCACGGTGCCGGCGCGGGTTACAGGCGTGGTGTTACCGACCGGTGGCAGACCATCTACCATCGAACACGACATGCCGACCGTGTTCCCCATTACCGGCGAGAGCTGACGAACCCCAGTCTCTGCCGACCTGCCGGTAGACGGTGTCGGCACGATGGACGGCACCGGCCCCAGCGCCGAACAGCGGTACGAATGTAATTAGAAGTTAGAGTGGCAGCTGCAGATCCCAGCTCTGGTGCATGTGTCTCCGGAATGGACGCCGGCCCGCTTCGACACCCGCTCGGTGTCACTGATGACTCTTCTGGCCCACCAGCAGCTCATTCCAGCCATCTGGAGCGAACTAATTACACTAATGGCCATTCTCTGTAAGCTACAAACTTCACTAATTCCCAAAGACGTTGATCGAGTTAATGCACTGGTGCCGATCAACCAATTGAGAACTTGAGACTCTGTAAATTAAATTAGACAGTTGAGATTCCCAGGGATTATGACAAAGATGCCTGCTGTGTCTGTTCAATGCCAGAGCTCCGAGCTGTCGGGGCCAAGGCCGGGACCGTAAATAATTGATTATCGATTTCCCGATTGGCTGCGGCAAGACACGAACATCCATTGCCCTGAAACCGGAAGCTACATCCACACATGCCGGAACCTTCCTAGCATTTTCCATCTAGCTACCCGCCCTGTGCCGAGCTGGCCCACCTCACTGCACATCCCGCGACCTGCATCTTCCCGATTCGTCTATTAACGAGGCTCTCACCCGACGAACGGCGCGAGGCCGATAAAGTGCCGCGCCGTATCGTCGGAGGCGACGGGAGCGACGGGAGCGACGCCGCAGAGCACGGTGGTCCACCGCTGAACCGCGTTGAAAATCGTGGTTCTCCCAGTCAACCCTGGTTGTCTTGGCTAGCCGTAACTCACTTGAATAGCCACGGCTACTGACTAGCCACAGCTTACCAAGCCAAGCAGTGGCTCTCCGGCTAATTGTATATTCGCAATCGGCTTGCTAACCGATGTGATTCTCGCGGCTAACCAATGTGCCTATGGCTCCCTCCGTAGCTGTGGTTCTCCCGGATATCATGGCCGTATTTATCCCCGCTCGCCGTAGCTAGTTATATACGGCGAACCGTATACCTTTCCCAGCCGGCTGAATAACCGATGTGATTGTCGCCGCTACCCAGCCTGCTGTTGCTCGATCGCCGGTTATGATGAGCAATCACCACTCGCTGGAAACTCGCAGAGAAGCTGGCTTCTTTCAAGTCAATCTAGACGCAATTTTATCAGAATCCTAACTTATTGTGCCAGCTAGAGCTGACAGCGGTTCTTTATCAGCACCAAGTTTCTTTTCCAATGAGTTCAGTTCGTGGTATTTCGATATGAACGTTGAACATGATCAATGAAGTGACTCCGAACCCTGCTCGCTTTTCGTATCAGGTTTGACTTCCTGATCGGTCTGGATGTGTTCACCTGCCCTGTCGATGTCGGACGCTGCAGCCGGCGCCGCGTCTGTAACCATCGGCTCACCAGCACCCCGACGTGGTCCCGCGGGCCGACCGCTTCCCGAGACGCAGCTGCGACCCATCACAGGCGGCGGGGCGCGGCCTGCGACCTCTGGGCCGCGGGACGCCGGCCGGCGCACATCCGAGCAGCGGAGTGCCACCATCGACCCGGCTCCAGACGACCGGTGGGGGAGGGTGACCCGTGACAGAAGACTGTGGACACCATGACAGGTTCCGGGTGGTCGAATGTAGCGGTGCCTCGGCACACGACCTCGCCGGTGTCGAAACTTACGCCTGGCGGCACCGGCCTATTCCAGAACACAGATGACAGTGGAGATTAGAAGTCCACACCGCTCTGACGAGCCGTCCAGACGCTGCAGGGATCATGACTATATTTGGCTGACAGGTTGCGGATGCTCGTACTTTTAAACCGTCAGATAATTAACCCGCGCCCCGTAGGGCTACCGGCGGACCCTACCACCCGTAGGGGGGGGCCGTTTCGGCCCCCCCCCTAAGATCTCGGAAAGTTACCGGCCGATTTTCAAAATTCAAACGGCGTTCGATAGCCCCACCCGGGAACTACCTTGTGACCAAATTTCATTGACCTAGGTCAAACCGATGACGTCACAGGTCAGGTCAAAGGTCAGATTTTCACCGTTCACAGGCAATTCAAGAAATGTGCTGTGAAAGCGAGTAAATTGGTAATTTATTGAAAACCATCGATGGTAAATTGTTCGTCAAACACATACTTTGCTATCTGAGGTCACTGATACCAGGTCAGGTCACAGCGAGGTCAGGTCACCGGGGGTCACAATATGAATGTGTCGTGTGATACATGTTTTATGGTCCATTTTACATGACAAATGCGATTATGTGGGTTAGGCAGCCTTTGGGGCCAGCCTAGGTCACGATTTGGTGAAGGTCAGGTCAAGGTCAGGTCAAATTAGGTCAAATTTCAAAGTTGATATTTTTGCATAAAATGGGCATCGATTCGATGCAGCTCGTCACGGGGAGTCTAATGGTGGTCTTCGTTTTGCTCTACGAGTTCTAGAATTGCCAAAAATTGGGTTTGAAAATTTGACGTCATCATTTTTGAACAGTTTTTTCGCTATAACTTGGCCAAAAAACGAGGTATCGATCTGAAATTTGGTATGTAGATAGAAGACGGTAGGCACTATCACATATATTCCGGTTTTTTCGAAACTCAAAAAACTTTTTGGATTTTTAGGCAAATATATCCAAAAAATGCTTTTTTGATTTTTGGGGGCTAAAACTCAAAAATTTCGAAAATTCGAGATAGCAGTTTTGTAGCCCTGTCAATTCTACACCTTTTATGTCTTGATCATTTTTCTGTATCTTCAAAGCTGTAGTCCTGACAGGTCTTCTCGCGAAGGTCTTTTTTCGGTCGAAAATGACAGAACATGACGTCACTCTGACGTCATTTGTGGCCAACCTATCAAAGCCTCTGGAAAAAATTTTTGGTCACAATGTGTAAAATTGATGCCCGGAGGGGTCCTGAAAGTTTGGTGGCGATATCTCTAGCCGTTTAGGAGATATCGACCGAAAAGGACAGGGGGGGCCGTTTCGGCCCCCCCCCCTACGGGGCGCGGGTTAAGGGTGCGTTTCACGCGTAACGCTATGAGAAACGTTTTTCGTAAATATCTGGAGCATCGTTGCTTCGATTGCCTTCGTTTTTGGATATGTTATGAAGGACGTTAACCTCGTCATCACATAGTGGTTACCGTTGTTCTGCAATCCACATACACTGAGCAATTGAGACAAACATATTGCCAAATCAAAATTTCAAACGAATAGAACTCAACAACGGATTGTCGTACGACTGTGATGATTGCAGTTTTGGACTGACGAAGTCAAGGAAAACATTTCCTAGCAAGCCTTTTTTCCAATTTTGTACTATGTTTTGCATGATACAATTTTTATCTTGCAGTGCATTGCATGAAAGCCATGACAACAATTTCAAAAATATGGCTGCTAGGAATCATAAAGACATCGATTCTTTACACAGTCCTGTAGAGTGAATCATCATTGCATGCATCACTATGCAGTTCTATTCATTTAAAAGTCATTGCACAGCTAGTTCATAAAATCGCCGAGAGATGTCTCTGGCTGTATGGCCCACGCGTTTCGACGGTCTCCCTCGGCTCGTCACTCAGCGGCGTTTGTTGACACAGTGTCACACCCATTAGTTACGGCGCTCCGCTGGCGTGCGGCCGCCGTCGAGGTGCTCTGAACCCTCCCTGCTAAGTTTCGCCGTGACCAGACGGGTCGGAGACTCGTCCCACGATCTATCCATGAGCGGCGCTCAGCCAGGCGTCTCCTATCGCGCGCCTCTCACTCTTGATCGGGAGTACGCTGGGAAGAACTTCTGAGAAACTGACAACTTTGAAAGAAGTCACAAGTTTATGTGAGTGGTATTACGAACAGCGAACAGGTATATTTTGACAATA